GTGATGGTGGTGCTGGTTCTGGTTCTGGTTCTGGTTCTGGTTCTGGTGCTGGTGCTGGTGCTGGTGCTGGTGCTGGTGATGGTGGTGGTGGTGCTGCTGGTGGTGGTGGTGGTGGTGGTGCCGGTGGTGGTGGTGGTGGTGCCGGTGCCGGTGCCGGTGCCGGTGCCGGTGCCGGTGGCGGTGGCGGTGGCGGTGGCGGTGGCGGTGGCGGTGGCGGTGGCGGTGGTGGGTGCTTTTGCGCATGTTGACGTTGTTCTGAGGCTGTTGCTGTTGCAGGCAAGTTACAAGTTCACGCCGAACATCTGTGACACCCGGATCATGTGCCTGAGCAGGTGCCGGTTGAAATCACTGTAGCACCCAACTCACATTGGTGGGACAAACTTCGACCAAGCCACAACGATTCGAATGAAGACTCATGCTGCGAATTTGGAGTCGACTCAATACCAAAATGCTTCAAGAACCTAGTTGAAGCAGCAGAAGACTACAGTGTCTTATTCTTGGACACTGACCGACCGCACTGCCAAGCTTGCTTTCAAAAGGAAGCCGGCAAGAACAGCAAACGCGAGCACGAGCGTTCAATTCGATTTCAATATACGGTAAGCATAAAAGCCCAAAGGGTGCAAAGAACACAATTGTCTGCAAATTCAGGATAACATGTCGGCCACTAAGAAACTACTCATCCATCGAGAAGCAAGGCTGCAACCTTGCACCAACACTGCAGAATCTAGTTCAGCACACCAACAGTAAATACAGATGCATCGACTGGGAACCTAGAACGAGCTGGGACAACTAGGATTGTGCCCAGATGCCTCTCCAAAGACACCAACAGATCGGATGTTTGGTTCTCCTTGCAAAGAAAGCTAGGGTGCGCAATTGAAGCTTCTGGATATCGCATCTGACTTGCGGACCGGGCCGGCAGGACGTACGTGCGGCGTTGTGGTGCAATCGAGATGATGAGCAAGATTCAGGCGTGGCTGTTCAACATCTGTTGTTGTGTTGCAGGAACAATCCGGATGAAGTCGTGGCAACGGAAGATCAGCTGGAAAAACTTTCTAGCTCGTGGTTGCGCGAAGCATGTCAACCACAGCCCAAGATAGAGGAAGCTGACAGGAAATGCGTCTGATGAGGAGGATGACGTCCCAAAGTCCATTGCTATCTGAATCCCCAGCTCTACAACCCTCCCTCCCTCTGGACTGGCGGACCGGCGAATCGAAGAAGGCCATGTGCATGCGGATGACGCTGCCAAACGCCAACTTTCTGAGCTGAAGGCTGATGCTCTCCTGCGGCGGCTCTGTGCAGTTGCCAGTAATTGATGGGCCATGGCCAAAGTGTCCTGAAGGAAAGTGAAGACGCTGTTCATGATCACCACGCTCCCACCCATGACCTCAATGCACGACATCATCTCGTCCCCTTGCCGATGTCCAGAAATAGGTCACAGCCCAGTTCAACGGGTGAGACTTTTCTGGCATCCCGGGCACGATGCCCAAGAGAGCAAGGCCGAAGCAGGCTCGGTCAAGCTTGAAGAGCATGACGGAAACCGATTTCTCGTAATAGCCTCAACCGGCAATGCAAATCTTCAGCCAAAGGGCGATGCTACAAGAGATATGTATACATAAACAAATGCATACATATAAACACTTATACATATATACATATATACATGTAGACATATATGTGCACACATACATACATACATACATACATACATACATACATACATACACACATAAGTACATATATACACCTGTACACATAGACACAAATATGCATACACATACACGATAAGAACGCATACACACACATATATATATATATGTATATATCTATCATAAATATACATAGGCATATACATATAGATATATGTATGTATACCCGACACACTGAAGCCAGTACTGCAACGTGATCAAACAACAGAGCGACTGTCCAGACGCACCCCGACCGTGTCGGTGCGGCATCGACAGGGACTAGTGGTGATGCCTTCGCCGAGGAAATACTAAAGAACCAGTGCCCACTACCAGCCCGGAGGCTTTTCATCGCATCGGTGAAGAGGAGGGCCTGAAACGGAGCAGCAATGGCCTCGACAATGATGATCAGGAAAGCCTTAGCCGTGAGACCAGGTTTGGCCCATGACACGTCGGACATGGACAGCTCTTGCCAAATACGGACCAGCAGCGAATGGCAAGACAGTCCAGAAAGGTCGAGAAATATGGCAGAGCCTGACAGTCGGTAGTCTAAGAGTTTAAGGGCCTCATCTACCGTACTCCTCTCCACGCCGCGGCCCAGGGAACATCGGATGCTGCATAACTCAACCCTTCGAAATTTACAGCCCCTGCTCAACTTCGTGAACAATCCCGGCCATGTGCTCGCTGAGCGCCTAGGCATGACGGCGGGAGCCACAGGGATCTCCTCGTCAGGTTCATGCGCTGCCTGAGGACATTGGCAGCTAGAGTGTCGCCGACTTACCTGCATCCTGTCTGGTCCCCAGATCTCTGCCATGTCCGATTTCTAAGCATTGACACGTCCCCTGAAAGTTGGAAACAACAGATTCCAGCGCCTCCGCGATGAAGCTGTTTTGGATGGGATCTCCCGCCATGGCACCAACAAAGGACTGCCGCGACATGCTTCGAAGATAGCCTGAGAGAGGGCTTTGCCTGATGAGGGCGCTGGGCAGGCGCAGCTTCTCTCGGCAATCTTTCTGCCTCATCCGAAGCACCGAAAATCAAACTTTAAATCGCTGCCAGAAAGGCCCACCGTGCTCGTGCGCTGGAGGGCGGCGGAGAGGGACACGGAACTGCCACCAACCTACATCTTGCATTTGCCAGTTCCGAATTGCTCCAGACACGTTGCCACTCAACCTTGCGAATCCTATTTTAGGGCTTTAGGGCTCATCCTGCCGCGGGCTGGCTTCCGCAAAAGATTGTGACGGGTTTTCTGTGTAAAGAGGTTCTGCTTGGGACTGTCCATGTGCAGTGCCAAACCATGGCCGACAGGGTTGCCTGTGAGCCTTGGCGCTTCAAAACAGGCCGCCGCGGCGCTGGCGGTGGGGCACCCTTCCTTCGACAAGGCTTCAGGTCTTGAAGCTTTGGCTATGAAAACACTTCACACAACGACCAAAGCACTAGCAATGTGAACAGACTCAAGAAATCCTTCCGCACACTGAGGGGGATAGAGCCCGAACCACCTATCGAAAACTAGGCGAGTTACTGCAGCGACGCCATGGCATAGTACTGGCCCTGTCCATGTAGCACGGCTTGGGGCACTAGGGAGGTTGGGTCAAAAGTGGCAGAGCTCAACAGGTTTACGAAGATTAAGTGTTTGATGCCTGCGACTTCACGGCTGGAGGTTGTCGGAGCCAGGAAACCTCTAAACGCGTTCAGCAACGTAGCTGCTCATATGAAGGATGGAAGAAGCGAGTGTCAGACACGAGTGGCCGAGAACCTCATCCAACACAATCTTCGTTCGGAAAGGACGGCTTCACCCATGCAGATTTTCGCAAATCGATTCACGTCAAATTCCGAAATGGGGTGCCACAGTCGGACCGTCCGAAGACCTCACTGCACTCTCCGATGCCCCAAACCCGAGACCACCACCACTGAGCATCTGGCCTCTACGGCCATCAGCTCTGAGTGGGTGCCTTTCTCCGCGACGCGGCCCTCCTAGACCCAGGGCGCTTGATGATACCGCTTCCGCCTCTGACACCAAGGACGACTATTTCGCATGCCTCGGGCTCAGGCGGTTCTCACACACGAAGTCACACAAATTGCCGACACCAGCATGCGAACGAACAAGCAAGAGCCAACCCCCCTGCGTGCGACGTCATGGTCTGGCACCCACCCGACACCTGACGTCTTAGTCTTGAGTTGGCGTTTCGCAGGGCTGCGTGCGCTTTTGCCGTAGACCATGATTTATCTGAGCACTTTCCGATCTACCCGTCCTTCAGTACATAGATGGCGTCGGAGGAGACAATGGATGTCAGCCGGTGGGCAATGGAGATGGTTGTGATTGTTTGGCCGTATGTGACGTCCAGCGAGTCAAGCGTGGCCTGGCCCAAGAAGACTTCTCAGGCTTGGAGAGCTCCCAAACAGCTTGCCTGAAGTACTAAGACACCAAGACTTAAGACACTGAGCCACTAGCTCTTTGGCCTTGCACTGCTCTCAGAAAAAGGGCCGACCTGAAAGCCGAAGACGACGGCGACGACGGCGACGACGAGGACGACGAGTGGCGACCACGATCAATGCTAAAGCTCATGCTGAAACTCATGAGGCAACCAGAATTCATGCCAATACCACCTCTTCGACTGATGATTACTACTAAACCGAGTGCCATCAACCTCGAACCTGTCCCGGGTTGCCTGCACCATTCTCTCGGACTCGTTGTCCAAAGCAGAGGTGGCCTAGCAAGTTCTGCAGCATCCACACTGCCTGCACACCCAACGCAAGCGAAGCTTCAAGATCCGAAACCCGACCCAGAGCCTCGTCCAGCAGCAATATCTGCGGCCTGCAACCGAGGTTGACGCCGATTGCTTTCTACCACTTTCGCAACAAAACCTTTCAAACCTTGCACAGGGTTCCATATGCAAAATCAAGGCTTCGGATTTTGTGAATGGGCATCGTTTCTGTTTTGCGACTGCTGTTCCTCATGCTGCCTCGTTATGCTGTCCCAGCAACTGGCTTCACTAGAAGTCCTTGTTGTTTTCCCACCAGGCCGCAGCGGTAGTGGCGGAACCCGTAGTTTCTCGCCGTGGGGAAGAGGCACTGATCTCGTTTATGGGGCTGCTTATTTGCAATGCCGCGGCAGAGCCAAGACGCGCTTTTTTTCTTGACTGTTGCTGAAGGTTGTCTGTAGCCGGACTGGGAATGTTTCGGCAGGTTGAACTTCCAATGCTTCTGCACTGCAACAGGCATAAACAAGAATTGAGATTCCTTCAACATGTTTCCGCAAACCCTTGGCTCTGCTAGTGAGCGCTGAATCCGGCAAATACGTGCAAGGCTCGAACACCCTCGGCCCGGAAATAACATAGAGACCTCCCAAACCTGATTTTGGCTTTCCTGCTCTGGAAGGGGTTGGTGCCCGTGGCTCCAGCAAATAACCGCAGCACCACCACCGCGCACCTTCGTGCCAATGCTCGAGCAATAGCTACGCGTTGCTTTTGGCCGCCGGAAAAATTTCCTGCGTCAGGTTGCAGGGGCAAATGCTGCATCCACTCCAACACTCCCAGGACGAACCAGCCAAGGCCCACCTCCTGTCACCAGAGTGTCCAGTCCCTTGGGCAGTTGGGTCAGCGTGTCTAGGATCTGCCTGAGCCACTGCAGTCTGTGTTCTCGGTACACTTCGATTGCTGCAGGCTGTTTGCTGAAGCAATCGACACTCTGAACAACAACCGATGTGAAGGCTTCGGACGTCTCACGTGACATGTAACATCGTCAAACCGTCTCGAAACCAAGACTTCTTGAGGCAAAAAGCGCGCTGCGTGCCGCCTCGATGGCCTCCTGCGAGCTGGGACCGGAGTGGAGCCCTGCTGTGCAGCCGGCGTGAACATCTTTATCTCGAGGCTAGACGCTCGCAGGACGTTAGAAACCGAAGACCCCAACACATCCAACCGACATCAAGCCCGGCCAACAGGCAAAGTACGACTTCGATGCACCCAAGCCCTCACACCCCCTCCTCGTCGGTGATCGAACCGTCTCCTGCCTGGCATGTTCATCATGCTTCATCGGAATGGCGCTTCCAGGACGAGAGCAAATCGGGTATGTTCTTCCTGCAGTCAGCCTTCAAGTTCTTCATGGCGGAGGCTGCGAATAGGACCGGCTCCTACGCAGCCAGTTTCGACCAAAGCGCAAAAGGGGACATAGTGAGGCAACCGGGCAACTCGCTTCCCTTCCCAGACACCTCTGATCGGAACCAGGCTGACACTTCGGATGTGCAAAACGCACGTGTTGTTGCGCATCAATCATTCAGCATTCCACAAATCACGCATCACGGGATATCAAGGGGTTCGCCCCATTCCCCCACTCAACCCACGAAGCGGGTGTTCAGAACTCTCTGGTATCTGGGGCTGGGTACTTCTAAACTTTAGGCAGAAAGCCTAGATTCATTTGTGTACTGTAAATTTCGAGTTTCTCTGCCCCCGCCCCCCTCTGGCAAATCTGCCGCCATCCGCGCGCCCGCCTGACCAACGTAGCCGATCAATCTCCGCCAAGCACGCACTGGCAGACTACGCAGCCTGGGCTCGGGTCGAAAGGCATCAACAGGCAAGGAACTAGTGCAGCTAACGAGATATTTGCGTCCCGAAAACGAATCTCGTCGACATGTTGTTCAGATGCAACACCGCCTAGGCAATCCCGATTCACGACCCTTTTCGCCCTCTGATGGGCCAGCAGTGATGATCCCGACTCTGGACCTGTTAGGTATCACGGCATTAGCAGCAACCTAGCCGTAACTATCGTAGTAGCAATCGTGCAGTCACTGGTTGTAGCATCGGAGCAGTTATGCCAGCATTTATTTGGCAGGCCAGCTGCGAGATGCCATTGACCAGAATTTCCCCCTTATCTGGATCGTAGAACCGCTCCAGAAGCTGGATGGTGGTGCTCTTCCTTCGGGAAAGAGAGAACTCGCAACACTGTTGGTTGTCAGCTTCGTGTCCTCCCTCCACTTCTGCTTTCCGCTCTTTTCGACAGTGGAGCCCGGAACATTGCGCGGTCGTGCTGACAGTCGCGTGTGTCGCGGTTGGGTGTACAACGAGCAACAGAGTGCTCATGCCCGACTATTGGCTGTTACCAACCATCATACCTTTACGTCCTCAGTGGAACAGCATACTCTTGGGACCGTTGGCGTCGAGCCAATGAAGACAGAACTTGC